CCGCTCTACCTTTTGACCAGCATATTCTTTGACAACTTTGCCTGCTTTTGCCTCACACTCATTTTTGTGTCTCTCCCAGGAGGAATCCAAGGCCTTCCACACTCCCAAGACCAGCCAGGCCTCTCTACCCACCCTGGAACAACTGTTTCCCACTGCCGCCATAACCAACCTCCACTCCCAGCTCCCCTTTTCTAATAAACAAATGTTACTTTCACCAGCTGATTCCGAGTCATCCTTTTACATGTGTTAATAGTCAAATTCCAATAGTTAAGTAAACTATCAAAATCATCCTAATGACCACAGTGGTCAGTCCACTTACCCAGGAATTTTGAGTTGAACAATTACAGGAATATTATGTCTTTATGTTCTAATAATGTACACATATTTTAGTAAATTGTTACCACAGAACATTTGCATACTTTTTTTTAACATAAACCATGTTATCTTTCTCTAAAATAATAACATTCTGGCAACATAACAAATCTAACTTGCAGCTAAAAACATTTTAAGAACAGTAGGGCATAATGTTTTAAAATGTTATCAAAAACATTTGAAGAAGGTTATCACCAAACATTTGAAGAATGTTTTTAGAGAACGTTATCCTACCTTTCAGAAGAACGTTCTGGGAACCAAACAAAAACTTCCCGCTGAAAACCTTCCTAGAACAATGACTGTAACATTCTCAGAATGTTTTTAGAACCAAACATGGGGACGCATAGCCAAAACCGGAAGCTGCGATAACTCTGCTGGCTACCATCAGCAGCTAACTTTTACTCTCCGATTTTTGCATACAAATGGAATTATGGATTATAAATAGTTTTTTCAGATCCACAGAAACATTATCAACCTATGGATCAACCGATTCAGCCGCGTTTTTTCGCGTTTTTTCGCGTTTTTTCTCGTTTTAATGCCATTGAACAAGTCTTTTGATCAGATTGACATCTACGGTGAGACGATCTCCTGTAAAAGCTCCGTAAAGGTACGTGTTGTGATGCTTGTGTTTGCTTCCCCTGTCGCGAGTTCGGATCACTCAGTGATGATACTATACCTAAATAATCTGTGGAACCTCCGCTTTAATCAGATATCTTGTATGTGCAGTTACGATAAGTAATAAGGGTATCTTTTATCTTGAATTCTGTGCCAAAGTGCGTTAGCATTTTTCGCTCAGGGGTCATTTAGATGCTTCTTATGAGACTTGTGCTGTGTTTTGGTAAAAAAATGGTATCGTCAGTTAGCTGAGATTCTTCCCGTTAATCTGGTATAACACATTAATGCTTAGTGCTGTCTGTTTGCTGTAACACTAAGTATCTGGGACACATCATCACAGATGAAATGGCTGATGATGATGACATGTATAGACAGCGGCGTGTCTTATATATGCAAGCCAACATGTTGGCTAGAAAATTCTCTTGGTGTTCAGATAAGGTTAAGGTGAACCTCTTTAGAGCTTATTGCACTCCTCTCTATACTGCCCCCTTGTGGGTCAAGTATAAGAAGGTGAGCCTCCGGAAGCTCCAGGTTGCATATAATGACTGTTTGCGTATACTGCTTAGAAAACCAAGGTGGTGCAGTGCAAGTGAAATGTTCTGTAACGCACGAGTCAACACGTTCCATGCTCTTTTGAGAAATCTAATGTACAAATTCATCTGTCGATTGAATGTTTCTCATAACTCTGTCATTATGCTGCTGTCAAATCCGTGTTTCAGTGCTGTACGATACCAGTCACCTCTGTGGAAACATTGGTATAACTGCCTTTTTTAATTTATATTTGAGTGTTGTATGTTTTTGTAATAATGGACCAAGAGTCTCTTTAAATAAAGATGATTGAATAGGTTCTTAAATATTAAGATGCCCTGAGACACAGTGTCGTGAAAAAATAAATAAAAGCCCCCGCCGAGGGGGGCTTTGGGGCTTAACAGGTTGGCCTTTTACAACACTTTTGTCAGAAAACCATGCACTCGTGCTTCGTTTTGTAATTATCTCGACCATGGATTGCATAAGTTGATGTTCTTAATGGCTAATTTTTTTCTCTCATATCTTTGCTAAGTGTTAACAATTCAGATTCTTCGCTTTGATTTGCAAAGAAATGTATCTCTGAATAGAACACATTAGCAAATACATTTTTATTAAAAGATATCTGAAACGTCTAAAGAGACTTGTGTTTGACGCCAAATATGAAAGTATATCTCAAACAGACAAAGGATCCATTGTGAGCAAAGTAAGTTGCAAGTTCCTGTTTTCATCATACAAACCAACACATACATGTTCTTAATATTAAACAAACGTATTTGTAGCACAAATGCATCATTTTTTGTGTGGATATTTCTAAAGACTTCACATTGTACTATATGCCTTTACAACTTTATCATTAACTATGGAAAAAGTGTTTTTAACAAATCAATGTATTCATAAAGGTATTTATAAGTAAGTAGCCTATAGCTTTTACATTAAATAACATTGGTGAGAAGTCCATAGTTGACATTGCACTCTTTGGTCAGAGATAACTTTTTTTTTAACTAACTCTTTTCTTTTCCGTTAACTTGGTGTTTATGCTTTTATGACCTAGCAACAGTAACTGTGTCAGTTGCTTTCGTCTTTTGGAATATGTGAACGTCACAGACCGAGTCCAACCCCTTTCATGTCTTCCTGTACTCCAGTCATCTATCTCCACCCACTGGTTACCTGTTTAAATGCTTTAAAACCTGTTCCTTCCTCATGAGAACAACACAAGAGGGCCAGACCTCTGTGCTAAAGGGTCACATATCAACTGCATTTCCACAGAGAGGTTACAAAACAGTTACCTCTCATAATTTATTCTTCAACTCATCAAAGACAGACAGAGAGAGAGAGAGAGAGAGAGAGAGAGAGAGATGAGAGAGAGAGGAGACGAGAGAGAGAGAGACGAGAGAGAGAGAGAGAGAGAGAGAGAGAGAGAGAGAGAGAGAGAGAGAGAGAGAGAGAGAGAGAGAGAGAGAGAGAGAGAGAGAGAGAGAGAGAGAACGGGTATTAGTAACGGGAGAGCAGCTGGGAGGCTGCCGTTAAGAGATCAGCCATGCTTGGAGGCATCTTCAAAGATGTGTTGGTCACAGTGACTCTACTCTTTCTAACTCAGACATGGACTCAGTGCAGGTGGGTGTCAAGATAATTACATTTTAACTGCCAAAATGAAGCTGATATGTTGTTTAAAAATAGTGTTGAACTGGTTTTATTGAGTGAATAACATTTAGATTTTTGCTCAATGTTATTATGTAATCATTTCAATATTGGAATAACTTGTAGCAAGACCAATGGGATTGAATACACAAATTGTTTTTCTATTTCAGGGCTGAAATTGATTTTTCATTAGTTACTTTACCAGATTGGAGAAAAAATGCAGGTATGACGTTTTACAATTACTAAGACTTGTGGATACTTTATATATCGTTGCAATTTATTAAATGAAATTTTAAAAAATCACACACTGACTTAAACCAATATTTGACTCATTGTTCTTCTTTCATAGAGTATGGTACACAGTGTTCCTACGACGGACATAACAATCAGATTTGTGAATGGACCCAACTAAGAACAGGTACAGACAAAAGCTGAAAGGAAAATTAACTGCAAATTTGAAAGCAAAATGTGTTTCTTTTAGGTAGGTTACAGTAAAGTTTATTAAGAGTTCACTTTGACAGTGAGAGACTGTGACTGTATAGTTACCTTTCATTTTGTTCCCACCCTTTTTGAAGAGGATTTGGAACAGCAGTCCACAGTTCTGTTATAATCTAAAGGCGCGCTGTGACTGTGTGTCTGTACCTCGCTGCGTATCACTAAATGATCTGAAGCAGGCTCTCCCAGGGGCAGTGAAAGATGAGGGCCTGCACTTAAGGTTCACAATTATCACAAAACACAATAAACGGCAATTCTGCATTTAATGATTATTGCACCACAACAGATGTACTTTTTTATTACAATAACAGAGACGAGGGAATGGTTTGCTCAAGTAATAAAACGTATGGTCCGACATAAAAGCTTATTCCTAACCTGCGCGGTTAAAAATAAATGTCACCATTTGACTTGAGTGGTTTAAAAGGAATGGAGAGGCTATTGTCATTGGATTTGTACTTCAGAAGGTACTAATAAAACTAATAAACTAATAAAAAATGGAGTTTGATCACTTTTTATTATGTGGATAAAAGCAGCTACTGATTACACTTTCTTACGGTCCTTTTCATCTGCAGAGGATGTGACTGTTTTAGAGAGCGGTCCACTGGTGCTGGAGGGCAAAGCCTGTCTAGAGTTTTGGTATTTAGCCCCCGTTGCAGCTTATGGGACAGCACTCAGGACTCTGCTGAAGAGCAGCACGGGCCTGAGAGAAATCTGGACCTCACCTGTCCTCCCCAGGGATTCTTGGAGACAAGTGTTTGTCCCCTTGAACATCATCGAACCAGGGACTCAGGTAAAATGTCATATAATAAACAGTATTGGGGAATCAAAATATAGTACTGTTAAATATAAAAAAACAATCTGCTTCTGTATCAGGTTGTAATCGAAGCAGTGTCCACGGAGAGACAGTTCACATTTAATCATCTAGGTGTAAGAAGAGGCTCATGTGGTAAATATATATCTTTTTTTGATATTAATATAAGAACAGCCAACCTTTGATTCCTCTGATAAAACTAAATCCTGTTATTTTCAGCTATGTATGGTGATAATAATGTGTATGCAAAACATAAACCAATACTGTCATAACACTTGTCAGCTTAGAGTCAGTGAAACAGTACAAATATCCTATTTCACAAAACTCTTCTTCTAAAGCTTTAAGATGTAAAAACAGTTTGAACTTAATATAAGGCAGTAGGAATGTTTTACTTATAATAAGTTATCAGTTACATATTTGAATCACATGTTGAATAACTGTGATCATTAACATTAATCCACGTACTGTATGTCAAGTTACTATTCAGTTATTCTAGCCAGAAGGTGTTGTGATTATAACGTGATTGTTTACTCGGCCACAGGACAACAGTGTGATTCTAACACAGAGTTTTGGACAGATGAGTCCACTCGCTGCCTCTGTTCTGGGGGCCATCTCTCCTGCTCTCCCATTCAGTGCCCTAAGGGCCAAATCTGCCGTCCTCGAGTAGAAAGATCCAGTGGGATTCACGCCTCTGGGATGTGCACGATACACAGTCACACAGACTGCAGCACTTTTGATGGAGTGCTCTTCCGCTTCATGGCCTCCTGCACCTACACGCTGGTTAAGACCTGCTCACCCTCTGAGACTCTGCCATTGTTCAGTGTGGAAGTAGTGAATGAGAAAAACTGGAACTCATCTCTGCCAACTGTTCAGGAGGTTATTGTAGACATGGGGAACTTCAGAGTGTCCCTGCTGAAAAGACAGACGCATCGCATTGTGGTAAGTCACTTTAAAAGAGAAAATAGATAATTAGAAATACATTAGTGGGATCAATTGCTGATGTATAGTTTATTTTATATGTATCGTGCTCAGCTGTTTATTACTGTGTTTATCATCACCCATTAGGGAGACGATATTTTCAAGGGTAAAGAATATGTATTTCCTTACTATGTTCACCCCCTTTGGTGTCATAATGACTAAGAACTGCATGTACCATATACTTCAGGTTTGTGGCACCTTTCCGTTCTGGGGTAGTGAGTGTTGAGCTGGGAAATGTACTGAAACGAGCAGTTCCCCTATCTGCAGCCAACTCTACTGATAAACTGAGTTTATTGTAAAGTGCAGAGTTTAGTGGCATAATGTCCCAGACTTATCTCCCTTATCAATTCCCAGAAGGGTGCTTCTTATGCTAACTGTGAGATACAGTTACTCCATATTGCTGATGACAGCCAGTAAGGAAGTCTAAAACTTTAACTTTCCTTCAGGTTAATGGTGTCTGGAAGAAGCTTCCACTGAGCCTTAACAATGGCTCTGTCAAAGTCAAGAGCAACCCCGCTGCTGTTGAACTGGAAACCAGTTTTGGTCTCTCTGTCTCATATGACAACGCTGGTGCTGTCCAAGTGGCGCTGCCATCCACTTACTCTGACCAAGTCTGTGGCTTGTGTGGAAACTATAACCACCTCAGAGAAGATGACTTCAGAAAGCCAGATGGAACAAATGCCCATGATGCTACAGGTTTGGCTGAGAGCTGGCGGACTGGGCAAAGCACTTCCTCCTGTGATACCATTCTATTACCACATCAGTGTGACCCGCTGGAGGAGGCAGAGTATGCCAGTGAGCTGTACTGTGGGGGCCTCCTCTCCAGCACTGGGCCCTTTGCTGGCTGCCTATCAGTTCTGGGGGCAGAGAGCTACTTCAGGGCCTGTGTGGTCGGCATGTGCTCTACCCACGGTGACACAGCAGTACTTTGTGAGACATTCCAGATTTACACCGATATCTGCCAGGAGGCTGGAGTCACCATACCCACATTGAGGAACTCTACACTATGCCGTATGTTTATTTAATGACCCTTTAATGGGCCATTTATTGACCCACTGATCAAAAATAACAAAATAGTAAGAAATAATTACTTTGATAATACAACAACAGTTCAAGCCCTTTCCTCTTTTCTTTGTTGCCCCTCTCAGCCCTTCAGTGTGGTGAGAACAGCCACTATAACTCATGTGCTGATGGTTGTCCCGAGATGTGCTCCGGTTTGGATGCAGTTGGCTCCTGTGGAAGCTGTGAGGAAAGATGCGAGTGTGACTCTGGCTTTAAACTCAGTGAGGGAAAGTGTGTCGCAGCAGAGGACTGTGGGTGCTGGGATAATGGAAAACACTATGAGGTAAGTGATTTAGATGAACCGGGAACACCTTTTAATTCACATTTTAACTTCCAAAGTGCTATAATTGAATCACTTAACTCTGTTTTGCCTGCAGAAAGGAGCATCATTCTCGAAAGGGGAGTGTGAGCAGCAGTGTCAGTGCATGGGTACAAATGAGGTGCAGTGCACCACAATGCAATGCTCAGACAATGATGTCTGTAAAGTCAAGGATGGGGTCAAAGGCTGCTTTCCATTCAAACCTGCCACCTGCAGTGTGTATGGTGACCCACACTATATCACCTTTGATGGGATGGCATATGACTTTCAAGGGGGCTGCAGTTACACGCTGACTACCACGTGCGGAGGAGAAAGCTCAGTACAGTTCACTGTGATTGGACACAACATGCATCTTCCCCACACGAATTTCACTCCATCCAAGCTGGAAGCTGTGGATCTCCAAGTTGACGATTTATACGTCACACTGAATCAGAGCGGGAAGGTCTATGTAAGCACCAAAAATTCTCTACATATCACACAATGCCAACTTTGTTATAGCATTGGGTTAATGGAGCGGAGGCTGTATGCAAATGTATTACAGTCCATGCAATTGTGTCTAATGACCTGTAAAGGTCAGGTCCTTACTGGATATAAAGAGTGCTTGTTCTGTTTTATTTATTGTCCTTCCTTAATTACCACAGCTCACAACTGTAAAATCAGCACACCCATGTTTATATGGTTAATGTATTACTCTGCGTAAAATCATTAGGGAAGTCACTTGTCTAGGGTTAAGAACAAACAAACTTCGAGCTGACCTACTTTCCTTTGCCGTGAACAGCTAGTTGGTCGATAAAAGGCTGCACTTAATATCCCAATAAAAATTAAATAGTGACATAAGACATTCTTAAGAAACTCTGTTCTCACAAATAACTATTGCAAATAATACATTTTCCTCTCTTTAGGTGAATAAAAGCAGAGTCCGACTGCCCTATTCCACCAATGGATCATATGGCTCAGTATGGGTCTACCTGAAGAACAATTATATCATCTTGGAAACAACCTTTGGCCTCAGAATGATAATAGACGCACAGAACAGACTCTTCCTCCACGTTGATGAACGCTACAAGTATGAACTTTGCGGACTGTGTGGCACCTTCTCGGACCGTCAGGAGGATGACTTTGTGACACCAGGAGGCCAAAATGCAACTGGTCCATTTGAGTTTGGTGACAGTTGGAAGGTGCCAGGCAATAACGAGTAAGCTATTCTTCTATAATGGTATCTATACATATTTTAGTGGAGATCACATGAATGCTGATAGTTTAATACATACAAAAGGAAAAAGTTAGGCGTACCATCTCAAAAGAAAGTGAAGAAAACATGTTTTTAGCCACACTAGCTGTGTAGCATTAATTTTATTTCCACCTAAACTAAACTAAGATCAAGAACATGGAAAACATTATACCTTCTACTCATGTTAGCATAAACCCCTGCTGGGCCAAAGTACTGAAATATCTGACATTTTTTCTGTTAAGAGGCAGTTGTTTGTTCTTTGCAAATAAGTAATAGCCATTAGACCATTATCTTGAAACCAATCTGACATATTGGCTTTCTTTGTAGTTTATGAATAACCTGAAGAAGTTGTCAAATTATGTTTTCCTCACATAAATAGTATTAATAAATCTTATCATCATATCTGTTTGTTCAAAGTGGAACAGAAATATCACTATATCAGTCTAAACTTTCTCGTTCAGGTGTATTTCCCACCCAGATGATCCCAGACAATGTGATGTTGATGAGGAGAATGAGGCCTACAATGAGTGCTACATCCTACTAGGGGACGCTTTCAAGCCCTGCCATGAAACCATTCACCCAAGCATCTACCTCAGCGATTGTGTGTATGACTTCTGTGCCACACGTGGTGACCGACACACACTATGTGAATCTCTTAAGTCCTATGCAGCAGCATGCCATGTTGCAGGAGTGGAGCTACCTCATTGGCAGACAGACACAGCCTGTGGTGAGTGTGTAGGTCAGACATTAGGATAAGAGTAACAGTGTGATTACTTTATAGTGTGTTTTTGACTTATGTCTAATGATATTTAGTTGTGAGACAATTAATGAACACAAAGTGTGTAATCTAAATGCATTTAGGATGAGAGGCAGTTTAACATATTAAGTATATTACCTAATTATTGATTTTCTTCAAAACGTTATGCTGTTGCTTTTAATTGTTAGGATTATGGCAGAGTCAACTGCAACTGGGCTGAGAGAAATGTCTGAGGCAATCTTTTTTTTCTTTATAAATATCTCCTATGAGGCCAAAAACGTTTTGTTTTGTTGTCCCTATTTCAGCTGAACCCACACCTACTACAACTCTTCCACCATCACCTTCAACTACTACTTCTACAACAGATCAGACTTGTAAGAGCATTCAGATTTGGGAATGTTTTTTGTTACTGGGTTGGATAATCAGTGGCAAAATTCAATTCATAATGAATCATTTCAAAACCAACTTTGGATTTACTTTGCTTGCCTTAAAAACAGATACAGTATTTAAATGCATACATTTATTAGAATAACTTTGATTAATAATAATAATATTTATCTACGGACTGGATGAAATCATGTTTTCTTGGAAAATGTATTTGTATCTACTTTTCATAATGTTATGTTCCTATGCATAATAAGCCATAATACTTGTCATTCTGATCTTGTTTATATGATTTTTCACAGTCTGTCCCATAAACTGTGACTTTGAAAATAATCTGTGTGGGTGGGAGCAGCTCATGCAGGACAGTTTTGATTGGACAAGACATTCAGGACCCACACCATCAAGCTTAACTGGCCCAAACCAAGACCACACCACTGGAGGTAAAACGTAATGTCAGGCGATGATATCACATCTGTAAAGTTGCTGCATTGATTTTAATTGTGCATGTTTGTAATGCTAATTTCAACTTTTCTGCAGCTGGTTTCTACATGTATATTGAAGGAAGTAGTGTAACCCATGGAGATTCAGCTCGTCTTTGGAGCTCAATGTGCCATTATGATGGACCACTCTGCCTGAACTTCTGGTACCATATGTATGGTTCAGCCAACGCCATGGCCCTCAATATCTACCTGCTCAAAGACAATAAAGCTACTAAACTCTGGTCCATAATGAACAACCAAGGTCCAGAATGGCATCTAGGACATTTTTATATCAGAGTCACTGGTCCATTCCAAGTAAGTGACACCTTACAGACAATATAATGGCCTAAAAGATTATATTATTGTAGTTGTATATTAAAACATTTATTTTTCCCTTTTACATCTTTTAGATTTTATTTGAGGGAATTCGAGGCTCCGATGCTCAATCAGATGTGGCCATCGATGACATTTCCATAAACTTTGGCTCATGTTTAGGTGACATTCATTTAACTAAATAAAGCATTTCATATTTGACTAAATATATATGACTTGAGGATACAAGGATATTTCTAATGCTAAAAATAAATTATATTATCTCAAATCATGACCATTTCTCAGGGTTTAAACATAACCAATAATGTCCTCCTTTAGGTAGTGTCCCTGGCCTGGTTAGTGGAACTGTGTTTCCCTCCTCAGATGTGGAAGTCCTCCCCTCACACCCAGGTAAGTGCACAGGAAGCCTTTTTTATGGGCCAATTGTTTCTATGTGAGAAAGCTGATGTGTGGTTAGAATTGAACATTTATGTCTTGTGATTGTACTCCCAGTTAAAGATTTGCTAAATGTTTAGGAAGTTGCCAAGGTCCTTAATAGCCTACTTAGTTCCTGTTAATATTTTACAAATGTTTCCTTTATAGTCTGCAATTTGGACTGTAGCTTCGATAGCAGTCTTTGTAGCTGGAGTCAGATGATCACAGATGCTTTTGACTGGACATGGCAAAGTGGTTCCACCCCCACTCTGATGACTGGGCCCTCTGTGGACCACACTGGTGGTAATACACCCCTTTTCTATGTAATATTATAAATGATCACAGGTATGACACAGAAAATATCTATCTCACCGTAGAAAGTGTATGTGAAAATGTTGATCATTTCGCTTCTCATTCTTAGATGGTCGTTATCTTTACATCGAGGCCAGCAGCGTGACGCATGGAGACACGGCTCGTCTCATCAGCTCTGAGTGTTCTGACTCTGGTCCTCAGTGTCTGCAGTTCTGGTACCACATGCACGGCTCAGCAGATACAATGGGCCTCCATGTTTACCTGCTCCATGACAGACGAACAGAAGTTGTTTGGTGGAAGACTAATGACCAGGGATATATGTGGCAAATGGCTCAGGTGGACATCAGAACAACTCGAGCTTTCCAGGTGCAACATCTTCCACCAGGAACTCAAATTATTGAAATATTGTCAACCAACGATGTTGTAGAAGTAAATTGTAACAATAAGAGACTGCAAAATAATAACTAATCCTTTTTCCATAACTTAGATTATCATTGAGGGACGTAGAGGCTCCAATGAAGAGTCGGATTCGGCAATAGATGATGTAAAGCTTTATCATGGACGATGCTCTGGTAAAAAAACATGCACTGTGAATGAAAACCACTAAACCTTAAAAATGTGATATTTATCCCAAGGCTGTATAATCTGATAATGTTTTAAATAAACTGTTGCAGATCTGAGTGGTGTTGAGTCAACAAGTCCTTCCAAACCTGATGGAAGCACAGCTTCTCCAAGTGTCCCTGTGCCATCCACTGCAGATCCAGAGCCCCCTCAAGTCAATGTAACTGCTCAGCCCTCTGAAGCAAATGTTACCATACGTCCCGTAGTGGCAGCAACAACCGACTTTAATAAGGACAACGTTACTCAAGCTCCAGATAACAGACACCCAGGTAAAGTTCTAATTCCATAGCAGCATGTGTAACCCCGGCTGTCTGAACTTTTATAATCTTTTTGTGATTTCCAGTTAATTAAAGATATCTTTGACTTGTGTGTGTAGTATGCCAACTCAACTGCAACTATGAACAAGATCTATGTCAGTGGACCCAACTTGCTACTGATGTTATCGATTGGACAAGGCATAGTGGCTCCACCCCAACTATAATGACTGGGCCTTCTTCAGATCACACTACGGGAGGTAATTAGCTTTCTCACACAAGCCATGTAACTCTTGTGTTGTACTGTCTGCACACCCTTATGCCCCAGTTTCAGCCACACAGTCACAAGGTGAAAAACATTTTGGTTGTTGAAAAAGTTCTTCCTTGTTCAACCAGAATTGTAGACTGTCAGGCTATGAGTTCCTGGTGTACTGTTTTACATAAAGATAAGATATCTTTCCGTTAACATCCTGAGGATGGGCAATTAAGAAATGTTTTGCATTTTAGTGTTTTGAGGACATTTGGATTGTCAACATTTAGCAACCATTTCAGTTGCATCTTGATATACCTTAAACTTATAGTTTGCTATGAATTTTCAAACTCTTTTGTCCTTAACCAGGTGGCCACTATCTTTACATCGAAGCCAACAGCGCCTCACATGGTGACACAGCTCGTCTCATTAGCTCTGAGTGTTCTGACTCTGGTCCTCAGTGTCTGCAGTTCTGGTACCACATGTACGGCTCAGCAGATACAATGGGCCTCCATGTTTACCTGCTCCAGGATATATTAGCTGATGCTGTTTGGTGGAAGATAAATGACCAAGGAAATATGTGGCACCTGGCTCAGGTGGACTTGGCAACATCTGGAGCTTTCCAGGTAAAATGTTATTCTCCTCATCTGACTAATGATAAAAACTGATAAAAAAAATAAATGAGTAATTGGTCTTGTGCTGGTATACTGTACTTTAGCATGAACCTGTGCAATTTATTTCAGGTTATATTTGAGGGGCGAATAGGTTCCAATGATCAGTCTGATGTTGCTATAGATGATGTATCACTTCATCGTGGACACTGCAGAGGTAACTATTTTCTCTTGCTGACATTCAATTTTGTTCACACACATTGTAATTGGGAATGTGTCTGACTTGTTTGTGAAATATCATTACAGACCTAGCTCAACCAACAACCCCTGCTCCCACAACCTCCAAACCAGTTGCAACAGAAGGTACAGAGCTTCCTCAAGAGAATAACTCAACAAAACCACCATCAACAGCTACCTTCACAACAACAATCCCCACAACAACAGTAGCTCCAACTGCTTCTGATACACAATCCCCTACAAAGCCAGACACAACAACAAGGCCACAGCTTTCAACAACCTCCAAACCAATAGAAACTACCACATCTGGCCCTGAAACTACAGCTAGACCCCACCCACTGACAACAGAGCACCCAGGAGTTGAACCCTCACATCAACCAGAACCTGAAATTATTGAAAACCCTCAAACAACAGAAGGACAAGAGCATCCTGTTACATCTACTAATGAACCCCACACTACAGATAGACCACAACCACCAACTACAACTCTACCACAGCCAGAAACAACAGGTAAACCACAACCACCAACCACAGTTTCACCACAGCCACCACAAACAACAGTTAAGCCACAACCACCAACCACAGCTACACCAAAGCCACCACAAACAACAGTTAAACCACAACCAACAAGCACAGCTACACCACAGCCACCACAAACTCCAGTTAAACCACAACCAACAACTACAGCAGGACCACAACCTACAACAACTAATAAACCAAATTTGACAACAGTTAAACCACAACCATCAACCACAGCTTCACCACAGCCACCACAAACAACAGTTAAACCACAACCATCAACCACAGCTTCACCACAGCCACCACAAACTACAGTTAAACCACAACCAACAACTACAGCAGGACCACAACCTACAACAACTAATAAACCAAATTTGACAACAGTTGAACCACAACCACCAACAACAGCTACACCACAGCCACCACAAACAACAGTTGAACCACAACCACAGACTACAGCAGGACCACAACCTACAACAACTAATAAACCACATTCGACAACAGGTAGACCACAACCTACAACTGAAACTCTACCACAGCCAGAAACAACAGCTACACCACAGCCACCACAAACAACAGTTCAACCACAACCACCAACCACAGCAGGACCACAACCTACAACAACTAATAAACCAAATTTGACAACAGTTACACCACAACCACCAACCACAGCTTCACCACAGCCACCACAAACTACAGTTAAACCACAACCAACAACCACAGCTTCACCACAGCCACCACAAACAACAGTTAAGCCACAACCATCAACCACAGCTACACCAAAGCCATCACAAACTACAGTTAACCCACAACCATCAACCACAGCTTCACCACAGCCACCAAAAACAACAGTTGAACCACAAACACCAACTACAGCAGGACCACAACCTACAACAACTAATAAACCAAATTCGACAACAGTTACACCACAACCATCAACCACAGCTACACCAAAGCCACCACAAACAACAGTTAAACCACAACCATCAACCACAGCTTCACCACAGCCACCACAAACAACAGTTGAACCACAACCACCAACAACAGCTACACCACAGCCACCAAAAACAACAGTTGAACCACAACCACCAACTACAGCAGGACCACAACCTACAACAACTAATAAACCACATTCGACAACAGGCAGACCACAACCTACAACTGAAACACTACCACAGCCAGAAACAACAGCTACACCACAGCCACCACAAACAACAGTTCAACCACAACCACCAACCACAGCTACACCAAAGCCACCACAAACAACAGTTCAACCACAACCACCAACCACAGCTACACTAAAGCCATCACAAACTACAGTTAAACCACAACCAACAACAACAGCAGGACCACAACCTACAACATATAATAAACCAAATTCGACAACAGTTCAACCACAACCACCAACCACAGCTACACCAAAACCATCACAAACTACAGTTAAACCACAACCAACAACAACAGCAGGACCACAAAATACAACATATAATAAACCAAATTCGACAACAGTTAAACCACAACCACCAACCACAGCTTCACCACAGCCACCACAAACTACAGTTAAACCACAACCAACAACAACAGCAGGACCACAACCTACAACAACTAATAAACCACATTCGACAACAGGTAGTCCGCAGCCTACAACTACAGCTACACCACCATCAACAACAACGGCAATACCTCAACCACCAGTTACACCTGTACCAAGTAAGTTCAAAGTATTTCCGTATATACATGGATTGGGTATAATATATACTTTACACCTCACAGGTTAGGCACCATTGAAACCTGAAGCTTTGGGCATGTTCATATTTGTGATGAAATGTCACCTCCTCAAGTGTGATTAACAAAAAAATATGATGTAAACCAAAACACTTTAGTTATCCAGAACAACAAAGTGTTGAAAAGGACATGATTATCTAGTCTCACTTTATTGAAATTAAACCCTAAAAAAAATGCTTAATCATTTCATATTATATCATATGACATGACATGATGTTTGATTGAAAGTGCTTGTGAAATGTGATATGTGGCTTTGACTTACCACTCAGCCCTGATTGTATTGACCTTTTGTTGTTTATCATTGTTAAGCTTGAGAATATACACTCTTTCTCTTTAGCACCCTCTTGTCCAGAGAACAGTCACTACACCACGTGTGTCCCTGCCTGCAGTCCAACCTGCACACACCTGAATGGCCCACCACGTTGCACTGAAGATGAGGGTTGTGTGCAGGGATGTGTATGTGATGAAGGCTTTGTTCAGAAAAAGAGGGTTTGTGTGCCTATCGAACAATGTGGTTGTGTGAAAAGGAATGGCACCAAATATGATGTGAGTGACAGAATAGTCTTCATCAAAGTCACATGTTTTTTACAGTATAAAATACTTACGGCTACTTTTGTTTTGTCAGTTCTCTGATGTGTGGTACACCAATCACTGCAGTCAGAAATGTGAATGTGAGAAAGACCATGGCGTCGGTCGGATTGACTGCGATGACAAAGAAGAGTGCGATGGAAATGCTGTTTGCCTTCAAAATGATGAGGGCAATTATTACTGCCAGTCTACAGGTACTGCAAGTGTCACCATTTAACTATTTTTTAATTGTGATATATCTTAAACATGTTACATCTTGTGAAATCATTTATGAATGTATTCACAGGCTTCAGGGACTGCACCATCAGGGAAGACCCTGAATACAGATCATTTGATAAAATGAAACACGACTTTGAGGGTGACCACTCGTATGTGCTGGTCCGGACCAACTACTTGCCAAATAACCTTCCACATGTCTACATCGAGGGTATCAACACTGTAAAGGATGAGGATGATAGTCATCAACATGACGACAGCAGCAGTGAAGAAGACCACAGTCGCAGAGTTAGGGATGATGATGATGAAGATAATGATGATGATGAAGATGAAGATGACCATGATAATGACCATGATAATGACCATGATGATGACCATGACCATGATGGTGATGATAGCAAACATGATCGCTCAAGTGAAGAGCACAAGGAGAACCACAGCTTACAAGAGCTTAAGATCAGAGTGTATGATCATACTGTGGTATTAAAGAAAAACCGGAGGCTGGTTGTAAGTATCAAAGACATTTCTAACAATATTATTCTTTCCATGTCATTGAACTGTGGCTCCTTCATAGCAGGTACAGTATTAGGATAAGATCATCATATTCTTGCAAGCCCAAAGACATCTGTGAAAGCGCTGAGTGGAATAACCAGTGTTTCTTGTTACAACAGCATAAATGCAACTGATGCATGCTGTATCTTTCTTTGTAATGTGAGATTTCCCTCTTGGCCCTGCTGTAAGGACATTAGCAATGGAGGATGGACAAAAATGTTACAAAGTGTGGCGCTCATAAACAGTGCTGTAGTCAGTGGCACTAAACTCAGTACAAATGAGTCTGATAATGTTGTTTTTTGTAAAGAGTTCTGAAGAAACAGATTTAGATTGTGCTGCAATGGCAGGGGCCACTTGAAAAGTGATTACTATAAATTAACCTGACAGAGACATGTATGTTAATGTTGAAAATAACCATCTTGTGGGGACTATGAATGTTTGTACCAAATATTGTTAATATTGCTAATGTATCCAATAGCTGTCGAGATTGTTCAGTCTCAACAACCATCACTACAGTAACACTGACAAAAATGGCTAAAACCTACTATTTTCTCAGACAAGTCTACTTAATATAAGTTACATTGGGAATTACCCCTCTTTGTCCCCCTCCAGGTGGATGGAAGGAGAACAAAAATGCCCGCCTCACCGACTGCTGGTCTAAAAATCTGGGAACATTCTTCTCACATCTACCTGAAGACCGACTTTGGCCTCTCCGTGGAGTTTGACGGCCACGGCAGAGCAGGTAATTCATCAACAAATCCTTAAATCACAATTCATAATTTCATACATAATTTTTTTATGGAAGAGAGTTAAAGACGTAATAAGGTAATGCTCTGTTGTTGATGTTGTTTCTGCAGAAATCATTCTACCCCGCATATATAAAAGGAAAGTTGGGGGTCTGTGTGGGAACTTTGACGGTAAAAAAAAGAATGACATGATGAAGCCAGATGGTACCAGGGCCAAGAACGTTCAAGAGTTTGGAGAGAGCTGGAGAGTGTGAAAGATTGGTGGACGTCGGGTTAAGACATCAAAAGTACTCTGTGGAAATGTTGACGACTAGTTGTAACATCACTGTGGCATTCACAAAAAAGCTCAACACTGATGAACCCTTACCCTAATAAAAACTTAAGAGTTAAGGAGATTTCAGTTTTTCCTTAGACAGCATGTAATCTCCAAACCTAAGCTGCCAAAATGTGACTTGGAACGAACATAACCTGTGGCCATGAAGACTTTAAAAGGACTTGGACTATAAAAATTGTATACACACAAACTATATCACAGTAAAATAAGACATGTCTGCTGCTTACACCGTTTTCTGGGATTTTGCATTGTTTCAAGAATGTGATGTCCAACTTTCAAGTCCATTTTTTAAGAACTAACAAACTTTCATGAAATATCTCACATCTTTAATTTTTTCAAAAAATCCTTGTACTCCTTGTGAGATATATCAGATGTTGTCCGTTGTCATTAGGGTAACGTATTTGTTATGCATGACAATACAATTATGTATCAATATCCAATATTGTTGGAAATAAACTCTATGTAACTTGTTCATATGATTAAGTACTGTGGTTACATTGGTGTAGCCATTAGTCTAGACATTTCAGTTTCAAGTGTAGCTACAACTGCATTATTGACATTTCTACAGTCTGTGTCTGATAATTAGTTACAGTAAGAAAAACGTTTACACAACTTCTGTAACATGATATAATTCTGAAGACAAAGGCAGATGTATTTTCTGTGAAGACAATAGGATTATTGTCATCACGAGTGTACCTATAAATAAGCCGTTGTTACACTCAACAGCGACAGAGTCATGGGTCGGTTTTCATTTTGCTGCTTTGTCCTGTCGAGCTTGCTACCGCTCTGTAATGGTGAGTAAAACATCATTTAATATTGAACAGTTTACCAAAGTAATATCGTGGTATAATTATCTTAATTTCTTTTTTTCAGTTTCTTATTGATAGAAGATTTAGAATACACAGTTACAACAATTGTTTTAATCATGACCTAGTTTTTTGTTGTTTGACCTGATTGTAACGAGCCAAATAAATAATCTAATTAATAATCTAAATTGACATGACTCACCTGATTGTATTTTTTCCAAATAATAATGGTAGATTATTAAAATGTGTCTCATAAATGCAGTTCTACCTAAAATAAAAATAAATATGCTAGATCAGGTCATTGACCCTGCCTACTTGTGATGGAAAACATGGCAGAAATCTTATATCGCAGTACATGTTACTTTATATCAGGGTAATGGTTTATGCAGTAGTCACTTTGTAAATTCAAGAAATGAAAATGAACATACAGTGCTTCATATTTAAGTATTATTTTGGTATTCCCATAAAAACAATTGCCTCCAATGAGACATTTGAAACAAAACTTGAAACAGTTAAACAGAAATTATTTCAAAATGGAAACGTTAGGTTCTTGACAACAACTTCATGTGAGAAGGGTTTCAAAGTGTTCAAGTGCTGATGAACACCATCCTGACTTTAGTCCCTGCAATTAAAAACAATAAAACAAAGCCAAAAAAATCTTGACTTTACTTGCAGAATTTTCTCATCAAAACTGAATGAATGTTGAACGAACACACACTTTTTTAATTTACATTTTAAAATGTATAAATTAAGACAAAGTAAATGAAGAAGAGACAAGGAAGAGTAGTTCCTTAAAAGGAATTCATTTTAGAATATGTGATTTTCTCTTAAACTTGGAAATAGACACTTCACTAAAACCATTTCATAGGAAAGATTGAACAACATGAATTGAACTTTGATATCCATGCAAGTCACCTCTTTCAGCTCAAGCAAATGCTGAACTTAAATGTTCTTGTTTTATGTATTCCATTGAAATGACATGTCTCTTATGATTTTCTAGCTCAATCCGCAGCTCCAACAGGTAAAATCACCTCATACACTGTAGCCAACTACTTGCTCCCAATACTCTAGTCTAGTGACACATAATCTGCCTCCATGCCAACTCTACAATGAACAGAGACTTTTAGCTACAACTAAGTTTCTTTATATCTACACTACACCTACACTTGCTATAGAATAAGCTATGCTATAAGTCATGCATGTTTACTATTTGATAGACGATCATGAGGGTGTGAGACACCAGAGTGATCATGAAATAAAACAGTGGATTAACAGTTATAAATCAATACAGTGTAAATGATTGATTAAAGATGTGTTGTGTGCAGGCTGTGCAGGTCCACCCCAGCTGTGTTGCTCTGGTCAAAACAGCAGTTGTTCAAGGGGTTGTTACTATGACACTTCCTGCGTGCTATTTAACGACTGCTGTAGTGACTACTTTTCAACCTGCTTACAAGGTGAGTGATGGTGAACACATGGAAAAGGAATGTTACACAGTGATGCCAGTTTGGGATTGAGGTGAGGTTTATAATGCACATTTTCATCTTGAATACAGGCTTTAACCCTTCGCCACCAAGAAGACAGAGCACAACAAGAAGCAGTACCAGACATACACTGGAAAATGACACCAACACTTCAACCTTCCCATCCAAAACAACAGCATCAGATACAACATTGGCACTATTGGATGTCAGCACAACCTCTGCCTCGATAGTATCTACTACAGGAATCATCCCAACAAGCAGAGACAAATTTACACGAGCAGATAACTCAACTTTATCAGCCTCTTCAACAACAACACCAAGCACATCAAACAGCAACACTACCCCTAAGCTAGAAGACATTGTAAAAGCTTCTACAGTCTCTCCTTCTTCACCTCCCAGCACAGCAGAATCTACCCTGGAGGAAATGAGTAAAACTTCAGCTTCTACAATTGCTGTTACTTTGGAAACAAGACAAACAAACAGCATCACATCAGCACCAGCAAATATCGGGACAACTTCAGCATTGACAACCTTGAATATAAGACCACAAAGCACAACGACTGTCAATACACCTATATTAGAAAACATCATAACATTAGCATCAACAGTCTCTGATACTACAACATCCAGCACAACAGAATCTGCACAGCTGTAAGTGAGCACATCTTCAGCATCGAAAACATTGCCACCAAGCACAAGTACAATTAGTACATCTACATCGACAGATATCCCTCCATCTTTGTCATCCCCAGGCCCTCTAACAAAAGTTCCAAGTAGAACAAGAAGCACTACTGCATCAGATGTGAGCACAAACGCAGAGTCCATAATGTTTGCTTCAAAAGCAACCAGCCAAACAAACCGCAGCAAAGCTACACTAGTATATAACAGCACAACTTCATCAGCCTCTGTAACAACAGTAGCTGGATCATCAAACGTCAATGCAACCGTAGCAGACATTGTAACAACTCTAGGCTCCACAGTCTCTGATACTTCTACACCCAGCACAACAGGCAGCACTGAAGCATCTACCAGAAAGGTGGAAGAGAGTGCAAATGCAGCACTCACCGTTGTTAATATGTCAGAATCAACAATCTCTCCAACAACAGCATCCAGTAAAACAAGCAGCACAACTGCATCAGAAGGGAGCACACACTTTGCTTTGACAACAACCAGCCAAACAAGTGTCAGTGTATCTACACCAGAAGATAACAAATCAACTTTATCAGCCTCTGTAGTGAGTACAACTTCAGCACTCGTTAATACTAAAACACCCAGCACAACAGTCAGAACTGCAGCCTCTACACTGTTTGAAGTGAGTACAACTTCAGCAGTCACCGTTGTAAATACTTCAGAAACCAGCCAATCAATTAGCATTACTTCTTCACCAGCAAATATAAAAACAACTTCAGCATCCACAGCCTCAGACACAACACCACCAAGCACATCAAACAGTAATACTAGCCCTACACTAGCAGAAATCGTAACATCTTTAGCATCCACAGTCTCTACTCCAACGCCCAGTACTACAGGCAGCACTGCAGCATCTACACTGGTGGAAGTGAGAACAACTTCAGCACTCGCCGTTGTTAATACGTCAGAAACCAGCCAATCGATTAGCATTACATCTTCACTAGCAAATATTAAAACAGCTTCAGCATCCACAGCCTCAAAAACAACAACACCAAGCACAACAAACAGTAATACTAGCCCTACACAAGCAGAAATTGTAAAAACTTTAGCATCCACATTTGCTGATATTACATCACCCAGCGAAACAGGCAGCACTGCAGCATCTACACTGGTGGAAGTGAGAACAACTTCAGCATCCACCATCGGGGATACAACAACACAGAGAACCAGTACAAGTACATCTACATTAAAAGATACACATTTGTCTTTGTCATCCACATCCTCTCCAACAAAATCTCCCATTACAACAAGAAGCAATAATGCATTAGATGTGAGCACAAACCCAATGGCCGTAGCTTTTGCTTCAACAACAACCAGCCAAACAGACAGCAACACATTCAAACCAGCAGATAAAAGCACAACTTCAACAGCATCTGCACAAACAGCACTCAGCACAACAAACAGCAATACTACCCCTACACTAGCAGACATCGGAAAAACGTTGACATCCACAGTCACTCAAGTAGTAGTACACATGCCGCTTTCGTCTCATTAGTATGCATACAAAGTGACAGGTGGACACGCCCCCAATTATGCAAATGAGCTAAGTCCCGCCTCCCATTGTTCGCGATCCTTTGATGTGAGGGTGAGGGGTCATCACCCCCTAGGGGTGAAATGCCCCCCTGTGTAGCGCCTTTGTTCGAGATCCTTTTGATGTGTGTTATGTGAAAAGCCCCCGGGCTAGCGCCTTTGTTGTCTAATTCTTTGATGTGTTGATTAAGTCTCTTTGAAGCTGTATTGTATGGCCCCCCTCAGAGCCCTTTTGTTGTCTAATCTAATTATGACGTCTAATCTAATTATGATGTGTAATCTAATTAGCCTTTGGTGTTTGCCCTTTGATGTGAAGTGTTATAACAGGCCGGTGTGACTTCACACTGGTGTGCTATAAACCTTTGATGTTAATCTAGGTGTCTCTTTGAAGTTATGTGTGAGACTGTCACACATGTCACATGTGTGAGACTTAGTTTTAAAAAAAAAGAAGAAATAAGCTCAAATTAAATAAAAACAGCCATTCATTTTCACTCACCAAGACATCTAAAAACGTTATTGTCCTATCTAGATTTTATTCAGTTTTTGTTTTTAAATGATGTGTGCTGGCTAAGGATGTTTCTTTTCAAGTTTTTGTGAAACTGTTAACTACAAGAAGTATCTGTTTGTAAAGAGGTTATTTTCAAAAGATCTTATTTAGGTTTTAATAGTGATACCTAAGGATATTCTCTTTTAGTTGTATGGATTTGTGAACTAATGTGTAATTACTTTTATTAACTATAATTGCACAGGATCATTCTAAGAAGAGTGAGAGGGCTAATGAGCCAGCACCATACCTCCTCTATGCATTTTCTTGACCTGTATCTGATCTTGAAAAACTTGACTCTTTTAAAAAAAGTTATTTTTCATCTATCATTTTCAACCATGCAGCAAGTGATCAAATTTAA